ATAAATGTTATATATACCTGGAGAGTCTCTTACAGATGAACGTACCGATTACACATCACCAGCCAATCAGAGAGCTAGTAATTATTATTCTTTAATTTTCCATGCTCTAAAATCTTATAAGAATTATCAAAAGAATTGTTAGAGTGGAACAGTAAGACAATAAATAAATAAACGGATAAACAAAGTTTAATTCATGGTGAGTTACCATTAAAAACATATTTTAAAACTGGTATTATGTTCACGTTTTTATTAAAATCTTGATTTCTCAACTACGTTTATAGTGTGTATATGTCATCAGTTATTGCCCTTGTCTAGGATCTTTAACAAGATGTATACATGTATTTATCTGTCTGTTTACTTGACGACAATGGCTCGAAAATTTTAAACATTAAATTCTATTCTATTAAATACTATTCATGAATAGCGAGAACCAATCTTTGAAATATGTCCAGGGATTGTCAGAACCAACACATAGGCACGACTTTTCTCTGTATCTGTCTGTATGTTATAAGGAACCATCATATGATACTAAGAAAGTAACGGAGTTTTGTCAATTTGGTTTATTTAATTAGAAAAAGGAAAGATTGCGACATTTTATATCGGGTATTATTTCCAGACGTGTTGATTTTTAACACCTTGTTATTTCTCTATCGCCCTAAAATATGTTGATACGAAACATAAACTACCATTACCTATTGAACAATAATTTAAGATATAAATATTTTGAAATCCATTTATGTAGGGAAAAATCTCTCTTTAACTATTTAATCCCACTTGTGACCAGTCCTCTCACACATTGCTATTCACTATGGCGGGATTATCTCGGGTGAAATATTGATCCAAGTTCTCTGTCAAGGTTACCCCTAATCCGCGGAATGTGGATCAACCACAGGGTTAGAAAGTTGTTCCTTGAGTTTTAAAACCAAATCAATTTTTTTTCTTCTCGGAAGTTGATTACAATATATAGAGAAAACAGACATGATAATAATAATCAAAATTCGCCATTTTTGGGTGTGATTTCTGGGGGCGTCTGGTCACACATGTGTGAGTGGTAGCATTCATATACAACTTAAATTTCTCTTTCATGTGTAAAAACGAGGGAAAGGTAATATCAAACTATACTGAGGTGAAATATGACTATATTTTCTGTAAATGAAGAGCGACGGCACACCAATTCATTTACCCTTCCCTCCGTTCGTCTTTCTGTTTATCGTATTCCGTATCTTGAAATTATAAGACGCATTGTGAGTATACTTAATTTTCTGCTCACATTTTCGCTCTGTTTTCGAATTATGCAATGCTAAGTACATTTTGAGCTGCAAGCGATCTACAAAAGTTTTTATGGCTAAAAATACGTAAAACATCAGATTTAACTTTGGTATTCCATTCCGTCGTTGGTTTATTGATTAGCGTCCGATAACTTTTATAACTTTTTAAGAAAGGACATAAAAAAAATAATTACATATAACACAACAAAATCATAAACATTGTGAACTAAACCTTTCAATCGTCAACTTCCCTTGCGAATGTAGCAATATACATGTATCCTTATCACCATCATACGGTGTTAATATCTCCCAGATGATTCGATGTGCAAGAGCATGCTCTACTCAGGAACAGTTTCTAATACGAGGTAAGTTTCTTACAAACAAGTTGATGAAACAAGAATATCAACAGTATCTTTAAAATCATCATTTTGCAAGATCTAGATTTGATCGATACAGTAACGTTGTCAACAAATACAATTTATTATTACATTTTTCAGACTTAATGTTAGGTCATTATTTACATACTGAATTTTCCATTGATTTTGCCCGTTATTTCCCGATCATGACAAGGAGCACACGGTTGGGGTGACCGGTCGGCAGGAGATGCTCACTCCTCCATGGCACCTGTTCCCACCTCTGATGTTTTTAGCGACCCATGTTTACTCTGCTACCAATTTATGTTGTTTAAGAGGACTTATAACTCGACTACTGTTCGTTATCTCCATATATCTTAATCTTAATGACTAATATGATATAATACACTGTAATATAATAATTTTACCTTGATTTTAACTGATGAAAATTGTATAAACTAATAAATTTAGTTTAACTGATGAAAATTGTTGTTAACGAATCGCAAAATATAATTTATAGTGTGTAAACTGTAGTTAACAATAACAAAATCTAGTTTATCAATTGTTTAACCATTTCTATTAAATATTAGTGACTTTGGTGTGTTAAATGTCTATCGGATAAAAATAATCACATGATGTGTTAACTATAGAAAGATGTTGACATAAACATATATTGTACAAGCAAGATTTTCTATTCCATTCATTTATTTTTTTCTGTTGAATATATATTTTTTTTAATTTTATGAATATCCCTCATTAAAAAATAAATTAAACAGATTTTGTCTGATGGATAACGTTTACTATGCTAAAGAACATCGAGGCCTCAAAAGAACATCCGCATTGCTACCAAACAGCGAATACTTAAATCAAATGCAAAGTCCGTCTTGCTGTATGGAGCAGAGACATGGAGATTGGCCAAAACAACCCATCAAAACAATTCTCCAGAAGATCCAAGCATCCTATAACAGCCGTCTCAGGCGCATCTTCATTATCCGATGACCTGAAAGGATCACAAGTGAAGAACCATGAAAGAGAGCAGGACAGGAATCATGAGACATGTAAATCAGACAGAGGGAGTGGGGCTGGATTGGACTCACTCTAAGGGGGTCACCATACAACATCACACACCAGACCCTGATCTGGAACCAGCAGGACTGAAGAAAGAGAGGGCGTCCAAAAAACACCTGAGGGCAGGTTAAAGGTGCAAGACATGGCCTGGCATGACGCAGCAAAAGCAGCCAAGAATCCATAATCGTCGGAGGACTGTCGGAACGACAGGCCTAAGTAAAGAAGTAAGTTACCTTTCGAATTATTTTCAGATAAATGAGTTGCCCTTTGGTGATTATATGGATAGATTCCATGACCTTGTATGGATTCTATTGCAAACTTTGAACAAAGAAGATGCGCGAACAAGGCGAGCGAAATGCCTATATAGTGCGAAAAATATGAAGTCGAAATATTAAATCTCAATGATAATAAAATTGTCTTTGATATTCCATCAGAAAATAAAGTATACGTTCTGTAAATTATCCACAATGTGTAAAAATTTCACAAATAATGAAATTATTTGCCTATAAAATAGCACACACATGCATGCCAAAGTGGGCAAAGGGGATAATTTTCTTACATTATAACATTTTTTTCTGAATTTGAGTGGGTCTTTGATCGATTTTTCGAAAGATAATCGAAAGATAATCATCAAAGTTTGTGTAAAGAATAATTTTTGTTGGATAAATTCAAAAATTAAATATGAATTTGATATACTAGTATTTGATGCTGTAGGTATTCTACACACATTGTTCACCCATCTCCTAGCTATTCTTATTCATTTTTTTTTTAAATTTATACAATTATTAATATAATTGTCAGTCATATATGTTAAAATATAAATTTAAATTATATTATCAGCTCATATATTTCTCCTTTTTTTGTTCTTCTTAATTTGCCTTGTCATATACATTTCTACTGAATATATGCATGTATATATTTATATTTTTCAATGTTATATTAATAATGTTTACTTGTACATGTATGATTTTGACCTTGTATGGTGGAAAGGACTTATATAGGCAGTGCCTGCTGTCCAATCCAATTATGTTTATTCATAATAAAATATTGTTTAAATAAATTAAATCTCCTAGCTAGCTTTTTAACCCTTCTATCGTTCAAAATGTTTCTTCACACCATATTATTTGTTATTCTCCATGATGCTTGTATTATCAAATGAATGATAAATTTTATTGGACGTGGGAACATGAAGATTTTCTAGAAAAATAAATCTTTCTAAAAGAAATTTAATTCTACTTAAATGATACAAAGTATTCAACCATTCATGAATGAAATGATACAAAGTATTCAACCATTCATGAATGCATTTTTCTCGTGCATTAAGTTATTGACTACATGTATATGTTTTAATTAAAAGAAAAAAAACATTTTAATGTTTAGATATGTCTAAATATGTCAAAATTTGCAGCTGTTGGAATCTCAATTTGAGTTCAAAATTCTTAAATGTACGTTAAAAACAACAAAAAGAACAACAACAAAGTATATACAAAGTGAATATAAGCTTTGGTCGATTTTTTGAAGAATTAATTTTACTTCAGTATTTTTTTTATATTTATTTTTGTAGAAGCATAAGGGGAAAATTGAATAAACTACCGACTGAAACTGAAGATAAAATATATTTTCGGCAAAACCATCTCTCTCAATGTTTCAAAAAATGCAAATATTTTAGATATGTTAAAATATTTGAAATATTTTAAAAATAAATGACGGTGCACTAAATGAAAATTTCTTTTGAAGTTTAGTAGTCTTGGAACCCACTGACTATTAGGAGAAAAAAGTAATAGGCTGTAGTTTATCATAAAAAATAAAATTGATGAAAAGTTAATATGACTAAAAAATTGTCTTTGATCAAACGATATGGTTTTATTTTCAATTTAAATGAAAAAAGTTGATCAATCCATTTAGCATGCAAAGCGATTATATTTTTAATTCATAGTTATGCAATGAAATATTATATTATTAGATAAATGTTTATATTTATAAATCTAGGCCCTAAATAATTAAAAATGATAACATTGCGACTGCCTAAAAGAATAAGGGAGGGGAAATGGACAGTCAAACACGGTCTACGTACATGATTGCACAACATTTTGTGAAACCTCTAAGAAATTTTATGAATGCTGCAGATTATGACTGTCGGGAATGTCCGACAATTCCTTTTCGAACATAATTTCATGAGTTTGATTTAATTTTGATTTATGATCGATTTATTAAACAGGGGAAATGACTTCCTCACTAAATGACCTTGACAGCATGATACGAAACCGTGGATTAACTGTACGTGGTAGCTTTAGAACAATAATCGACCAATCATTTTACGGGCTTGTTTACTTCTAGAGAAATGTTATAGCATGTAATAGACTGTGTATTACCTATGGTTTTTAATTGATTTTAAGGTTATTGTGGACTTTTGGTGCACCAGAAAATGATAATATGGAACTTAAACTTATACAGATGTGATTGTCATGGGTGAATTAAAGAAACAACGTAATCGATATGGCTTTTTCATTGGATTTGCTACTCATTCGACAGCCTAAACAATACGGCGAGAGTTCAAGGCTAAGTTCTTCTAAATGTGAACAAACAACGGCGGATTTACGATAAATTCTTGTGATCAATTTTAGTACATGTGATTTGTTGTGATTAAAAAATGTGATTTTGTATATTTTTTAAGAACGGAAATAACCCTTCCTTCTTTCAAACAAATTAACGTAAAGCTTCTATAGTCGATGTTTGTTTATGACCAGCCTGGGGATTTTTATAGTTTGCTACGCACCGCGACAAGGGTCTCGTTTTGATAACTTTCCCAGACCCTTTGTTGTTTAGCCCACACGTGTTTCTTCGCATACTTGAAATAACTGTTATATTAACAATTTATATAATATACACAGAGTTCTTTAATTAATAGACAGCAGATATCTTGCAAGCCTGCATATATTTATATTTCCTCTATCTCTCTTCTCAGCACACATGACACTATTTTGATATGAGCTAGAATTTAATATGGTAAAACTACTTCAGCAAACAGCATGTTTCTTGTTGGTCATCCTGTGTCTGTGCATGGTGGGGGCGAGATATGCTATGGACAAGAAAACCACCAAGTACCCCAATCCAAATGGCAAAGGTGAGTTCCTAGTCCTTCATGTTAATGTGCATTGAATGCAGAGGTGGAATGTATTAGAAAATCAAATTTTATCATATTGTAGTAGGGCCTAGAAACCACAATTATGATTATTTCACTCCCACTTGCACAACCAATGTAGTATTCATGGGACTAAAATGAACTGTGGCGTTTGATTGGAGTGCTTCCATTCCGCCAGCATTCTGACAAATGAGTGGATTGAGGACATATTCTTTTAAAATTGACAGGTGTTTTGACTGTAGGTTGGTGAAATAGATCTTGACTGACAGTTATGATTTTTTGGTATTGTATCTACATCTGCATAAGCAGTTGCTTGTTATATTTGTTTTAAATTTGACCACCTCTGCATTCATTTTAATGTTATCCATTGGACAGGTTCATTTGAAATTTGAATGTTTGCTATAAAGGTATTTTTAGATCATGATGATAGGGATGTCCCTAACAGTTGAAATAGCAGGGAATTTTTTTAAAAGTAGAAGGGGTTTGGGGTTCCTCCCCTTAACAGAGAGTTGAGGGGAATTCTAGAATAAACCGGGGACTTAAGTCATCATAGACTGGGAAATTCCCCATCCCCCTGATCTCGGGGACAACCCTGAATTCATGTAGTAGAGACATAATTGTAGTTAGTCTTCGATCAAAAAGCATTGATTTTCTTAATTGAAGTACAATGCACATTTTTAAAATCTGACATGCTCCTGTATGTTATTTCAGTAAATTTCGACATTTCTTTGTATCATTGTTAATTAAAACATCATTTGAAAATGTTGTATTCTTTAGTACGCAATTTCATGCTCATCATCCATTTTTAATTCTAAGAAGAGTTCGCCAATATCTCATTTTCATATCAAATATAAATGAATTTGTGATATATTTTACAATTTATAAATGTATACGGTACTGGTAAATGTATTAAATCTAATGTGTTCAATAATTGGCAGAAATTAGTTTTTGAACAAGAAAGTGTAGAATTTATTTAGACTAGCACATTTCTAAGTTTTCTTATTTAATATGTATAAATGTGCAAGACAATTAGCGTTGTTCTTAAATTAGTGAAAGTTTCTTTCCCCCAAAAGCACTAGAGAGAATACACAATAATAAGTATAAATGCAAGACAATTAGTGTTGTACTTAAATTAGCGAAACTTTCTTTCTGCCTAAAGCGCTAAAGAGAATACACAGCCAAACATAATACATTTAGAGTATACTCTAATTAAAAGTGCAAGAATGGTCATTGGACTATTGGTTTTGTCTGATTTAATAAGATAGTGTTAGCACTTTGTCTATCAGGACATTATTGTGTAATAAGATTTCACCTAACAAATTGACAATTGTGAATTGAATCATGCATGAACCAGTGAAAGGGAATGACATTTTGTTGGTCTATGAATCATTTCCTTTGTTTGTGTGTGTGGCTCCCCAACCCTGTTGTCAGATACACTAGAAATACACTGCAGTGCTCTGTAGAGCCTCATTGTGAAACTGACGAGTCCAGCTGCAGACAGAGGGTCGGAGGTCATTGTATTATTGGTCAATTTTAGTCTGTCTATGTACATGTACACCAGAAAAATAAAATAAACTGATTTAAAAAGTACATACATATTGCAGTATTATACAATGTTAATGTATAGTTTGAAGTGTACGATTGTCATGAATACATGTATTTTAGGGTCATTTTAGGAGAACACATGACTATGTACTAGAAGTTTCATAATAACCCTGGTATATCATAATTTTTAAGGGAATGGTAAAATTATGGATATATAGGTATTTACATATCCCAATAAAACATGCTTTAATCGAAATCATTCTGTAGTTTACAAATGGTTCTATTTGATATCATTAGACTATTTTAATTTAGTGCTATGTTCTCATCAACAGATTCTAGACTACAGCATAATCTTTACATGATAAATCATGGATCTAAAAATACGAGGGCCGTTCAAAAATTACACGGACTGTGCTATTATTTACTCTTACAGACGTCATATAGTTATGAAATTTCACAGAAATATGCATCTTAAAGATTCCAATAAATTTTGGGCAAAATTTCTGTATTTTAAAAACATTCTACAAAAATTATCGGTATGTCGATATCGCTGATGGAGAGGTACGGAGCACGACAAAAAAGTTGAAGCAAAAGCATGCGGAATCCAAAATTAACTCATTATTTTTCTATAATTCGCGATATTTTTCGACAATTTTCTCAAACGTATCTTTAAATTGATCTATTATTATGTATTTAGATTTCTGACGTGCTATTTGAAGTACTAACAGAAATATAGTTATTTTTCTCCGATGCGATTCCCGTGAAAATGACTGTGAAAATGACGTCTCCTGAATTGACGGCGCACCACACTTTTGTTAAATTATGTGTAATGCTCGAGATATCGCCAACATAGATCCAGAATATGCATAATGATTCATGTAGTAAATAGGATATTCGTGACATTCGTCCACAAATAGCAAATTGAAATTTTAGACCATTAAACCTCTGTTAAAAGGCTATACGGGAGGATGGAAAGAAGATTATCGACGAAAACTTTATCAGGACTGTAAAGAACGTAACTGAGAGTCATCAATATCACACTATATCTCATAAATACCTGCAGCTTTTGGGTTTAAAACAAAACAAGAATCTTGTTTAATAGATTTTAAGCTTGACAAGAAATGGTGTTTGGATGTTGAGTAGATAAGTCAACATGTACAGGTACTCTTGGAAAATGTTGAGCAAATGAAAGCTCAACCACATATTTTTTTATAATGCCTGTGACGTCGAAGATTTTGCTGCTCCGTGACTTAATGATATGTCCTGATAAATCACTCAAAATTGATACCAATTTACAACATTTTGATATGAAATTTTGAAGACCATATAAGTAAAGATTCTTTTATTTTATGTGTGATATTTTGCCCGATTATGTCGTCAAATATTTTTTCTGTGCAACAAGTCCGCGTAATTTTTGAACGGCCCTCGTATTTACTCTCAGACAGAAAAAACCAATGAAATAGTAAGACATCAGATGATTTTCTCCCTGGATTTCTCTCAAATGACATTGCAGAGCAAGGTGTAAGGCTGTTTTCATGCATATTCTTCACATAGAAGTTGATCTGTGTTTTGCTTGGGTGAACACTGTTGTTTGGTCATTGACCGAAGACAAGAAATATTTTATAATAGAGACCTAAGCTGAAACCAGGTGTCCTGTGTCCACGATACATGTAAAAAGAGGAGCTGGCGGGCTGTGGGGGGTGGGGGCATTAACTTTTCAATAAAATCTATGCACATATATTTTTTTCCAAAAAATAAGATATGAAGAAAAAGATTCTATATAAATCTGATGATTCGAAGTAAGTGTGAACCGCCCAAAGGATACATTGAAATTTTGAAAAAGAGACTTCCCTGAGATTTGGAAAATTGTATTCCATCTGACAACATCCCAACTCAAACTATCAGGTTACAGAGTTCTTAAGACTTGTCTAAAAGGGTATTGGTTTTGGAATTGTCAATGCATAACATTATATAAATTTATTTATATGAATTGTAATGTAAAAAAATTATATTCCCAGTATCAGTAAATATACCCCAATATTAGTCGGCAACACTTACAAACAGGAACAGTTTTTTGCCTGCAGTTATGTCTTGAGTTCATTATCCTCTCTATGTGATTGAAACAGAATAGTTAACAATAAAATAACATGATTCATTAAATTAAAAGTGTGAAATGGTTGGTTTTATTTGTTTAAATGTTTAAAGTCTCTTTGGAATTCCTCTTCAGCCAATCTTTACATGAATATGTATGTGATTAGTCATGTTACAGATTACTGATTAGTCAGGGAAAAATTGAGTTTTGGTTGTTTAAATACATGTATTATAAATGCATATCTTTCCCTTTGAAAAACACTTCCACTTTGTCTAGAATTTTTGAATGGTGGGTGCTAATGCCTTTATATTTCACAGATGTATTACCTTTCTTTAGTTACCAACATATTGACATTTTGACCTTGGAGTTTGACCCACACCTTTGATAAATTTTACCAAACTTTAAACTTGTTCACAACTTCAAAAAGTGGGTGCTTGGGCTTTTATATTTAACAATCTCTGTGACCATCTGCATACCATTCTTTGAGTACCAGTGTCCTTAACTTACCTTTTGATCTTGACCTTGAAGTTTGACCTACAGTACCTTTAAAAAAACTTTAACCTTGTAGGGTTTTCAAATAACACCTGTGTTTTTCTTGTGACAACATCAGTACCAACATTTTTGAAAATTGGCCCTGAATCCTGAAAATTTTCACCCATTTAAATTTTATGATAAAAACCGATGGTCTGTAACTATAACAATTGCTGCTCTTTGAAGGGGGAGACAATTAATAAATAATAAATAAAATTCTTGTTTAGTTGGGTTATTTTGAAGAATGTAAAGAACCACTGGTTAAGAGAAGTTAAAATTTTGGGTCACAGAACCAAAAGAATCAAAGTTTTAAGCAGATAATAATATTTAGTTTAGTTATACATATATTTATGCATTACACCCCATTTAGTGTAAATTTAGATTTACCCTTTGAGAATTAGGTTGAGGGCACACTAGGGGCTCAAGTGTAACATGCAATTTTTTGTTTACACCTTTCAACTATTTTCAAGATTAGTAATTCATGATTTCTTAGATGAGGGTTATGCAATTTAGAAGAAATTATTTTTAATTTCCTGATCAAATTTACTTGCACTGACTTATTTTGTGGGTTGCACACTTGGTGCAATGGAACAGTATTTGAATAAGGAGTTGATCCTTCTGTCATTTGATCAAATCCCTCTGTGGGACATGGAGAGCATTCTTTGGGATGAGAACATAAAAACCAGAGACCTTGTCTTGCAGTAGATGCTGGCACAAAAAAGATCCTTGCTGCTTATAAGCCAGTAAATGCTGAGTACTGGTCATTATAATTTTCAGCCCTCCACAGGCACATGGTGGTGTCTCAATATGCAAG